CTGCTGTGGAGTGGGGATGTCAAGATTAATGAATTATACAGTGATAATACTCTAAATGTCACACTATATTTGTGTATCTGTCTTTTGAGGGAATTACAATTATTTGAAGGTATGCTTTGTAACTTTACTCGTGGAGAGATTGCCACTTGCTTATCTCTGTGGGGATGTTATTACTTTGTTTAAAATATTCCACAGTACGAGGCGCCACTGGGTCAAGTCAGAGATCAGGTCTGTGGAGAGGTGAGAACGCTTACTGTAAAAATGCAGATTCTTGACAGGTAATTTTAAGCAACAAAAAAATCTGTAACGGAATAAATGCTAGATATATACTGTATGTTTAATGCCATACTGTGGAGCATTCCAGCGCAGCAATTCATGGGTTTCAAACTATGACAAGTGTCCATTGTGGTCATAGCAATTAAGCAATTCAATGAATTCTGAATAAGGAAAGGTCCTCACACAATCCTTAAAATCAGGAAGGAACTGTTTGTCTGAAATCCATGAATCACATCTTTCTATGGGAATGGGCGTTCCCAGGCCAGTCTCTCGGTTGACCTGGGAATCCCTTGGGGTCCCACCAGAGGAGGAAGCTGGAGGAAGTGTCTAGGGTGAAGGAAGTCTGGGAATCCTTGCTTAGACTGCTGCCTCTGTGACCTGGCACTAGATATGCAGAAGAATGAATGGACAGTGCATTCAAGTTTTCAGTAATTACTTAGTGTGAAATAAAAATTGGTATAAAAATCACAACAATCTGTGGTCCCTGTAGACTGCTGTTGTTTGAATGCCTACAATGTGAGTATAGTAAAGAGAATTTGGACAGAAAAAAACACAGCACAGGAAACTCAACACTGATGCAATTATCCTACTCCTGCTCCGAGGGAACAGATAGAGATTGATTATCAGGTTTATGGACCAATAAAGCAGGCCAAGTCTGTGTCCTCCGATCCTGGTTAAAACGACATTACAGCGCATGCTGTAGAGGTAAATGGGGTCACCTCAGGAAAAATGTAAACAAATACTGTCCCTGTTTCTTGTAAATAAATATACTACCGGTATCCAAATATGGGATCCTACATAGGAATTCCCACTGTTCAAGCTTCCATAACACCCATGCAGTCCACATGTTACTAGCTTTGTCAATGAATAAGAATTTGTAAATTGTTTACACCCTACAAGACATGGATTGATTACTGACTAAAGCTGCAAAAAAAATAAAACATGCTAATAGGCCAATCATTCAGCCAGTCTCTTCTAACCATGGCTTAAGATCAGTAGAAAAGTCCCACTGCATTTCAATGGTTGCTCACTGTTCTTGACAAGTTGACTTACTGGCACTTCACTTTATTACCAACATCTTTGTTGGTTTAGATTTTCCTTTGTATTTTGCCAAATTAAATTAACCACAGTGTGGCTGAGCCAGATCTACTTTCTACCTCATATGAACTCAAAAAGAATTCACACAGCCAAACTGAACAAAATTTGGTTGCATGCTCACTTTAAATTGCCCATATTTAAATAATATGACTGTAAAGTGTAAAAAATTTAAATAGCAGTTTTTTGTTTGTTTGTCTGAGATGTACAACATTAGAATAGGTCTATTGAGTAAATAGTGTGTTTAAAATTAAAAACTATAAAATAAAATTAATATATAAAAACAAACATGTGTGTAATCTTTGAAACAAGTGATTACTACACTGTCATGATATGTACAGGTTCATTTAGCACATTTCATCTGAATATTGTCATCAGGATATTCCAGAAAGATTTTTGTGACCCATTTTCACCAATATTGACCAAGCCTAAATAGTGACCATTCTTTTTATACTCCAGACATATTTTTTACAAAGTAGAATCCTAAAACCAAAAAAAACACAAAAACAAACAGACTTAACTTGGAATCTAAATGAGTTCAGAGCATTTTAGATCATCCACAAACAGTCGTGTTTAATTTGGCACCTGTCCCACATGCCAATCCTCCCCCTGCGCTGAAACGCCCAAAAAAGGACACGAGGGGAGGGGGCTCTGCTACATCAGGGGGGCATGACTGGACAGGATATCCCGTTTCTCACACACATTCAGCGTCAGTGACTCAGTGCATTCTCCACACAAGCGCATTGGTCATAGTGGAAATGGGGGAGCAGACAGTTAAAATGCCTGCCGGTTTAAATCACCACCACAATGAGGAGTAGCTAGCCGGTCATTTGGCAAAGTATCCGATCGGTAGCAAGCCAAAGGGAGTACAGTCTGTATGGGTCAGACAGGGACGCTCTCTCCTCTATTGGATTAATAAGCAAAACACAAGAGAAATGGAAAGATTATTAGCCTTGGCTATAAACTCTGTGACCACCTGCATTAGATAACTACATGCAAATCTATGTTTGTTGTATCTGTTCCTATCAAATAAACAAGATGGAATTTGATTTGATGGATTTTTTTTCATACTTTTATCCAATATTGATTCACAATTTTTTGGAAAAAAGGAACAAAATGCATGTGTATATTATTATTATGTGTACTGTTAAATGATGATTGCGTAAACATAAAGCCAATATCAGCAAATATATGGAAGGTGGAAAATCCCTCACGCTATAGCACCAATTTACTGTCCATTCCAAGGAAAATGTATAACTCTATGACTATAAAGCCAAATATGACCAGACCGAACAATGTGAAGCAGTCAGTGGGATTTCCCAACAGAGGGTGATAAAGATGGATTCTGGTAACTTGCACTGACGCAGGCTGAGGGGCGACTGGGAGGTTATGGCTCAATTATCACTGGGATGTTGCTCATACAAAACATGTGTGAAAAATGTGTGATTTGTGTCATGTCTGGCACTTTTCCCACAAAAAGATTTACGAGTCTTCTATCTCTAATAAATACAGTTTAGTGTCACTGATGGATAAAATGTCCCAGCTAGGGTTTAAGGAGGGAAAAGGGGACTTGGTTTGTAGAGATATTTGTTCATCTGCTTTCTAGTTTTATCACTGATTACTGATCTCTGAATCTAGGCAAAATTTTGTAATACAGTTAACATATCTTCAACCAATTATTCCACACATGCAAACTCAAATACAGAAAGATTGTTTGCCTATCCCAAAAACTGAACCAACAGTATCTATACAAACCAGTCTGCCACTATCTGACTTATATATTCTATTGCTTACATAATATGACTTTCATTTGTATGCTATTTGGCTATCTGTTCCATCTTTATTTCAAAAAATAAAATGCAAAATGACCAGGTCCTGCATGTAAATATGTTAAATGACCAGTGTTAAATACCTTCATTGTTTTACTAAAGAGATGTACCATTGCAGGATGCACTCAATGACCTTTTAAGAACTGTGAGCGGATAGTGGCACAGTGAATTATGACAACTGAAAACTGATATGCTAAATAAACTGTGAAAATGACCTATTGATCACATCCTCAATATAATGTAATATTTGAACAACTTCTTGTGTTCTTGTAGACTGGTAGAATCAATGAATGAATGACGCAACCCTTAAACTCTCCATAGACAGTGTAAATTGGAGTGACCATTGATAAAGTCTAGTGTTAGGCAGACTCTTTAGAGACATGCCCAGACTCAGTGGCATCAGCTCAATGACATCACCATTATGAGGCAGAGAAGTAAAGACCAGAATAGTAACTAATGCTGCAATAAGCAAAGGAGACCAGGAAACTAATGACATCAAAATTTAAAAAGCATTGCGTCAAAATTGCACATTCACTTAATTAATTAAAGGGTCCATATAACACTATTTTCTGATCTGTGTTATAATGTTGTTTCCTCATCACAAACATACCTGGAGTTACATTATGTTTCATTCATATGTTTAACACACAAACCCTGCATATTTAGGCTGAGCTCTTCTCTGAAACTGAAAACACTGTTCCACCTTGTGATGTCCTGTAGTATTACAGGAAGTGCTTCCACTGTTTTTAAACTCACCACAATCATTTCAATGATGTCAGCCCTAGTATTGCCAGTCTCTGCTGAACTTAAGGTAAAAGGTAACTGTTAACTACAGGACATCACAAGGTGGAACAGAGCATTTTCAAAGCTTTGCAGATGTAGACAGACTAATGATAAAGGAAACAAAAATAGAAACGAAACACAACTCCAAGTATGTTTTTCATGAGGTGACAACATTCTAACATGGTTTAAAGCTCACAAGAGGAAATGTGGTGTAATATAAGATCTTTAAATCAAGTACAGATTATATGTATACAAGATGTCACTATTGAAGGTATAACAATTAAACTTAAAAATGTTGCCAGTCAAATTGTGTGTTTGAATAAGACATCCTAGACATCCATGTTTTCATACCATTGCCAAGTCATTCATCATGACACACTCCATTCATATAGTAGGTCAGGAAGTTGATCCTTCAGTCAATCTTTCCTCATTTCAATCTAATTAGAAGATACACCTACAGTTCACAAACGCAAACAGTTTTACATCGACAACTAGCTACACCAATGTAATTGCCACTCCACCCTGGCCATTATCTTTACTATTAAATTGGATTACATACATACTGGTGGAGCCATGGTACAGGGCAATCTTCCAATATGTTCTTAAGCTATGACACCATGTACTGGAATAGCGTAATAAGTATATAGAGAGTCCTTTGCTATGGATTAATATACATATTTTTCTTGTATCTGCAGGCTACACATATTTGGGTCCTTTATTAATTTGAATGCTGTTTTACTGCAGTTTTATGCTTGGTTTACCTTACCAGTCTATTGTTAATTTGAGGTAGGAAATGTACCTTTTGGCTTAAGATTCTGACTCTAGAAATCTTAATGTTTGGTATTTGGTACTTAGTATAGGTATGCAAAGTTTAAGGTTAGGTACACAACTTTCTAGGTTAAGTATACAACTGTAGGCTGAATTGCTTGCTAATTGTTGCAGTCTATACATTTACTTGCCTCTCAGTTTCATCAATATTGCAAGACACTGTTTAGTCGTTACAGATTTAGAACTCACCTTCTCTTGTACTCATCCCTCTCCCTCTTGACTTTGGCCAGGACGTTGTACAGAGCCCTCACTTCAGGCGTAATGGTGTCTATCTGGACCCCTACTCCATCCGGATGTGTCCACGTTACCCCGGGCCCGTGCACCGTCTCGAACCGCTCCCCTTGCCTCCGGACGTGGGTAAAACTCCATATGGTACCGGGCATCCGGGACTCTGGCCCATCCGTTTGCACCGCCACATCCCGCGCGTAAAGTGCCCGGTACTGCTGCCTGTGCTGAGCCTGCTGTAGCTGTGTCTCCAAAAGTTTATTTCGTCTTTCCAGTTCATGAACTTTGGCAAGAAAGCAGCGAAATCGCAAGTTTAGAGTTTTCAGAACGTGAATATTGGAGCCCAAGTCGTTCCTCAAGGCGCTGGTCACTGCCTGCGAGTGTGAGCCACCGGGCAGAGTGCATACCGGAGCAGGTGCACCAGTGTCCGGATAGAAAAGCGCATTCATGTCGGAAGAAAACATCCCAAAAATAACCCAACTCAAACTTATCTATGCAGCGCAATTCTCATATCACTGCTCCTGCTTACAATGCTGAAAAATGAGGCGAGGTTACCATCTCTGTCCCATGCTGTGTCACTGTCACATTGTAGCATTAAAATTTCGCAAAATTACAAAAATCCCTTACGGTCCAAAAAGAGGCGACATCATCTAAAAGCGCCAGGAGTTTGACGCAGCCCGCAGTGATGAGTAGCAGCGTCTGTGCTCCTCAAACACCTCATCTCTCTAGTCCTGCTTTATTTGGACGCTATATGTTGAAGCTACACCTCTTCATATAGGCGACACCTCACGTAAACATGGCTTCGTTATCCTCTTCTAGCGTGGTGCCTTGTGTATGGTCCCATGTGCCGCGGTGGTATGGCAGGATGCAGTAGCGCACAGCCCGGCCCCTCTCTCTCCTCTCCGCTGCTGCTCTTGGGTTGGTGCTAGTGGTGCACGACTCGGATCATGTTGCGAAGTGCTAAACTCGGCACTATCACCTCTCCAGGCCCCGCCCTCCTTCTCCTGCCTGTCTATCTCTCCAGGGAAATCCAGTCAATGTACCCAACACATCCGCCTGCCATTAGTTACTGGTTAGTAGGCTACATGATTAAATCAAGTCAACCACTGTAACCAACAACACAATCTAGGACAGTTAAACAAATTACATCTTATAATACAATAAGCGCAATGACTTAATAAGTTTAATAATTTATATTATTAGTGTATTAAAACGTTGCCTATTAGACATATTATCCTATTTTCTCTCATTTTTAAATAACAGATGTACTATTGCCTATTTAAATGTTTGGTCTGGAAATCTATCTGTTTAGGCTTAGGTCTGCACACTGTTTCTCCAAAGCAGCAATCTTAATCCGGTTCTGTAATAAAGTAATGATAAAGCAATAACCAAACACCTAGGATAGCCAATAAGGAAAAAAAAAAGTTTTAGACATATTTCTTCAATAAAATTCTCTAAACAGTATAGCAACTGCTGACTGTTAATTATTAATGTTTTTCTTGGCTAAAAATCTTGAGTTCACAACTGTCTCAGAAAAAGTACAGCCCAGGAGCCTGTTGATTCAATGAATTCCAATAATTTGCTGCCCTCTTGTGGTTAATCTGAGAATCTGAGGAATAGGCTAGTAGTCTGAGAGTCTAAAAACAATCTTCGGTGTAAGAATTTAAAGCGTTTGTTTTAGTACTACAAGATAACATAATAGTGCTATAATGCTTTGCCTTGGCTATATATATATATATATATATATATATATATATATATATATATATATATATATATATATATATATATATATATATTATTTTTTTTTTTTTTTTTTTTTTTTTTTTTTTTTTTTTATTTCAGGCAGAACTGGGACAGCACATCTACCAGAAACATTTGGGGTCCTTCGGTTTCACGTGTGCTGCTGTAGCATCGTGAGGGAAAGCCATGCCGAAATCAAAGAGGGATAAGAAAAGTAAGTAATAAACAATATCATATTGACTTATATACGTATTTGGTCATGTTTAGGGTATGCGATAGACTGATTCACCTAAAATGTGTTCGTAACATTTGAAAAGATTTGAAACGTGCGAGAAGCTAGCGTTAGCCAAATTTGCTGGTTGTCATCCATTACTTTTTCATATAGCTAATTAAATGTGTTTTTTCCCCCCCTAGTTTCTTTAACAAAAACAGCCAAGAAGGGTCTGGAGTTAAAACAGAAGCTTATAGAAGAGGTAAGTTACAATTCCATTAATATCAATGTCAATGAAAGTACAAGGTTGTGTGTGTGACAAGCACTATGATTGCAATTATTTATTACACATTTATTATTTATTTAATTTTGCAGCTAAGAAAATGTGCAGATACATACAGAAACCTCTTCATATTTTCTGTTGCCAATATGAGAAATAACAAATTAAAAGACGTGCGAACAGCGTGGAAGCACAGCAGGTAAATGGCACAGTAGACTAGAATCTTATTCTTTCTCAGTTTCTTTACAAATAGATGTTTTAACCCGCTCCTAAATGTCATTTTATACAGGTTCTTCTTTGGCAAAAACAAAGTAATGATGGTTGCTCTGGGCAAAAGAGATACAGATGAGTATAAAGATAATTTGCATAAGGTAAGTTCATCCAAACATTTTCCCAAGTGTAGTTGTATTTTAATACTGATAAATCTAAAACTATTATCTCATTATCATTATGACATCTCAGGTGACAAAGCATTTACGAGGAGAAGTGGGTGTGCTATTCACAAATAAAACTAAAGAAGAAGTGCAGGAGTAAGTATTAACTTAATCTTCAGTAACAATAAAGCACTTTTAGTTTTTTATTAGTGTTTTTGTTTATCCTTCTCAGGTATTTCAGTCATTTTAAAGAGACAGATTTTGCACGGGCAGGAAACCAAGCTCAGATGGATGTAACTCTTGATGAGGGGCCTCTGGAACAGTTCACTCACTCAATGGAGCCACAGCTAAGACAACTGGGACTCCCCACTGCTCTGAAAAAAGGTATACAAAACATTCTGTTATTGCTTTATTCTTTGCATGAAGTACATATCTCTAATTGTTTTATATTCCAGGGGTGGTGACACTACTGAAGGATCATGAAGTATGCAAAGAGGGGGATGTATTAACGCCAGAGCAAGCACGGATACTGGTAAGCCTATTTGGCGTTACATACTGTTGCGTACTGGACAAGGCATATCTTTAACAAATGTTGTTGTTGTATTAGTAGGTCACTCACCTGGATATCACTATTATTGCTAGATTTGACTAAGATGTCTTGTTTTCATTTTCAGAAACTGTTTGGCATTGAAATGGCTGAGTTTAAGGTGCAGATCAAATGCATGTGGAACTCTGAGACGGGTGAATTTGAGAGCTTTGGTGCAGAGGAAGAGTCAGTTCAGGAGAACGAAGAGGATGATGAGGATGAAGATGATGCAGAGTGAGACCTCTGCAGAGACTGTTATTGTCTGGTTTTGTTTGATCCGCCTGGCCGCTGTTTATGGACATTACATTGAATATGACCAGACTATTCTCTTCCCCTTTCAAAGTTTGTACAAAACTTGCCAATTTACAGTTGAGATAAACTGCTGTTTATCATGAATTTTTTATTTGTACTGATGTGTGGATCAGTAAACAAGTGTTTAAAATGATCTTCTTATAATGTTTTCAATGCTTTCTTTTTTTTCCAAATATTTTTTTCACATTATTTGTCCCCAATTTGTCTTGCCCTTGATGCTCAAGACAAATCTCTCCATTAACAGAGAAATGTGAATAGAATTTCATTAAATTATGTAAATCTCACAAAATAAAGAGGCAGTTCTTCAGAAAATATAGGACTTTATTACTCGTGTCTTGGAAAACACGAATCATTGTAATTAACTATGGTGTAACATTAGTAAAACACATAAGTGTTATCAAATCTGGACTTGGTGTTAGTCGTGGGCCCTAGTAGCTCAAGCTTATTCTCTATGGGATTCTTGAATCAAACCCAATAGGTTTTATTGCAATTGTCAAACTTCACAGAATTCACAAACTAGAACTTGCTTGGAATATCTAAAAAAAAAAATCTGTAGGATTTCTTTAATACAGTCTTATTGGCGGTTTATATCACAAGGCTCTAGTTGTGGAGAGTGTCAGCGGAAATAGTTGGGGCACTCATGGGCGACTCTGTTCCAAGCCTCATTAAAAGCAGAGACCACGCGTTCATCCAGAGGTCCCTCTTCAGCTGCGTCCAAGTTCTGCTTCAGCTGCTCCATGTTGGACATCCCAATGATCACGCCATCTCCTAAATCTCCCTGGAATAAAAAAGGCAGGTTCATGTGATTGGGGTATACAATACAAAGGCTTTTTTTTTTTTTTTTTTTTACAAAGACTTGTTAAGACTTTATGGGAGTAATAACATTACTTTGCCCATATTTTTCCAACTAATTTAAATGTACATAAAGACAAGTGCTTACTCCTAAATAACTACTAATTGATAAACTGATGATTGCAATAGTCTTATGGATAGCTCTGACGCATGTAAATGCTACACATTAAAACATTAAAGTACCTTCAGTTTTGAATGGTGGTACATCCATCTCATGGCTGCAGATGTCAGACTTGGTTTGTCTGCTCCATAAACCTCCTCTAAAGTCTTCAGCACCTGAGTTATGGCATCGAACTGACTCTGCTTCCAATATCTGCGCAACGCATAATATTAACTTTTACTTATAATGACAAAAAACAATATTTATATTATTATTTTAGCTATCCCACCTGTCCCTGTACGCTGCTGCCCAACTGTTCCCAAAGAATCGTCCTTCAGGCTGAGAGGCGTCCTTATCTTCATAGTGATATTTACCTGTTAGAAGTCCACCTGACAAGAGATAAGAAAACAATAAATGCAATTCAAATAGTGGCATTGTGGCATTATTATCATCAAATTGACCTCTCCTATACTGTATTCATGTGTGTTACCTGCAAGAGGATTATAAGCATAGAAACTCATGCCAAAGTATCTGAGACATGGAAATAGCTCAGTTTCCACCTGCCTTGTTGTTGCATTGTACATCCCCTAAAATAAATTCAGTAGTTAGTTAGAATGGAGAATAAGTAACATATAAATAAAATGTACCTTGCTATCCTGAAACCTTGCTTAGTAAAAAATTATGCTCAGAGACGTGCTCAGTCTCTGCCCATTTCTCAAACAAAGCTATTCTGAACTATGAGCAGGACTGAGTGACTTAAGCTTGTTTAACTATGATCTTGTTTAACTATGATCTTGTTTTCTTGTGAGTGCAGTTTGGGTCAGATTATGGTAAGCTTTTTCCACCACCCTCCTTTAGTTAACTAATGGATGCAAAAGACATATCTTTAGTTAAACCAACACTGTTTTAGTCAACTATAGTCTTAAAAAACACAACACTCACCTGATACACTGTGGGAACAATCCAGTTGTTGTGTTTACAGATGCTCACAATTTCAGCCACTTCCCAAGAAGCATAGTTCGACAGGCCGAGCTCCTTGAATTTCCCCTTTGAAATGCAGCGTATGTTTAACTTAACATTAAGGAGTTAGATTCTGAACAGCATTAGCTTGTATCTCATTGCAGACAGTTGTTCAAAAATTGTGCACAATAGATTATATATAAATTATGGTAGCAATAACACTATAATGATTTTTAATTGAATATAATGAGAAGAAAATCTCAGAAGTTACATATTTTTGTAAAAGGTAAAGATAAAGTGGATGATGAGGACAATTCTTTTGCTTGCTAAACACTGTATATAATGTAGGTGTAGAGGTGAAGTTGACAGTATTATTTCAGTACATCAGAACTGCAACCGTCTGCTTGTAAATGTCATGTTTGAAGTGGATAGGTTTGTTTTTTGTTTTGCATGCCGTAAACATGAAATAATAAAAAGCTAGATAAAATCTAGATTATCATTTATATTCACACTTGCTGTATGCCTCACCTCTTTGTGCAGGTCATTGCAGGCTCGGAGTGTGTCCTGGATGGGGTTGTTGTGGTCGGGGGCGTGGAGGTAGAACAGGTCCACACAGTCGGCCTGCAGTCTCTGGAGCGACGTCTCCAACTGAGCACGAACACTCTCTGGCTTCAGTGTCTTACCATCCCACGGGTTTGCTTTGGTGGCTAGACTCACTGCACAGGACAAAATGTAAAGTGAATAGTAAATAATGAGTGCACATTACACATATATGAAACGCACATATCACACATAATTGTTATATTCTCAAGAGCAGACTTATAGACATATAGCAAGGAGTTAAAATTGTGTTACTTTGACTTGAAATTTGGACCCAGCTTGCAGATTTAAGATGTTTCAGGATGTCCATTTCTTTTCAAACATTCTATTATTAAACTAGAGGGAAATTCAAAACTTGCATTCGACCAATTCTTCAAGGAAACATTGTGGAACCTGGAGGCACCTCTCAAAAGCTAGCATCTTGGACAGGAGGGTTAATCTGTTATGCAAGTTGTGTTGTATTTACGTTTATAAATAAGCAAGTAAAAATTTTGTCTAAGTAACTTAATTGGCAATTGACTAGTCCTATATGTTATTATGTGCCTATAGCATAGATTACTAAATTTCCAATACTGAAACTAAAGTTATTGTATATCTGTTATTTTAATAAATCTATGGAGTCAACTAAGTAACAGTCCACTCCCCTGTCAACTTGTAAACCCTGTTTAAGATCCATAGTTGCAGAGACAGATGCTTAATCTACTCCAGTCATTACTCCAGTCAGACACTATGAAAAAATGTGAATGGATCATTAACTGGGTACCCTACTCCTGTGTGGTACAAATGCAGTAATCATACTTAGAGCGAACTCAAATAAGTTCTAAAATTAATAAAATATCAGACTGGACCTGTACACTGCAAATTTCTCTGATCTGGCTAAGATTTTAATTCTTGGGATTTAATTTTAGTCAAGAGATACTTTATTTTAAGATAGATTAAAGTGTTCATATCTTAAATTCTGGCCAAGTTTTTTTTTTTTTTTTTTGCAGTGTATGGAATGATCTCAGAAGTAGCCTGCAGAAACATTCTCAGGTATTATTTTTTTTGTCTAGAATCAGGTGACTTTAGCATAGCACAGCAGTCTTCTGTGTAACTCACCAGTTTTGGGTAGTTTCATGCCTCCGATCACCTCTTCTGACTTGCCGTCCACGTACATGAACGCTGTGTCCACTCGGCTGTGCCCCCTGCCCAGGAAAGCCTGCACCATCTCCCGGCTCTGCTCTGCGTTAGCTCGGCCGCCAAACGCCATCGTCCCCAGTAAAGTGATGGGTCTTTTGGCTGCCTCTTCAGTCGACATGTTTCTAGCCGTGCACACGTTTACGAACACTTGTGGTTTGATGAGCAGATTATTGTTCCTTAGTGTCCAGCGCACAGTTTTTCCTACCCACTGCATGCTACACAACGTGAAGTTCAAAGGGCGACCTCAAGGGAGCGCCTCGATGTTACCTAACCGGAGAAAAACGAAGAACTGTGGTAAGAAACGTGTAACAAATGCGTTTTTTCGTAAAGGTCAAAGTTGAATGATTGTTGGTTGTGACATGTTCCTGTTTGTGCAGATTTGGCAAAGTTTGTTCACCCCCTTTCATGTGGAGAGCAGCCCACATGTTTAGGTTACTTATTTTTAAAGATTGTTGACTCCATGCTTTGTGCACGCTAGAGGGAGGCAAAGTACAGGGAATTTAATGCATTATTACCTCCACGCAGAGCGCTTGTGAGGAAGTTGTAACAAGAAGCCTGGATCTGAGGTGACCCTAACCAAGTTTACTTATTTTATTTTTTTCCAACCTTTTTCTGTCTACACAGTAAATTCAAAAGTGTTAAATTCACGGTGAAAATCCAGATATGTTACAACATAGTCAAGCGTTATTTCAACTTTGACAGTGCTATAGAGTAAAATAAGTAGCTGATGATTCACAGTGTTAACGTGAAACACTTAGAAAATCTATATTTAGAATATTACACTACATCAGTGTTGGACTTTTGTAACGTTTCCAGCGGGTGAGCTACGAGAGAGAAGCCACATTTCACCGTCCGAAGCTAAGCTAACAGCGCAAAGCTAACAGCTAATAGCGTTTGTTTTTCAGCAGAACCTGAACTCATCGAGCCTCAAGTCCAACCACCTGAGCTCTCACATGCCCCGGGTCAGATTACTCAACCTTTTTAGGACACTCCGCAGTTAATTTAATTCATAAAAATACTAAATATATTTGGTCTAATGCTAGTAGTAGTATTGAGTAGTAGTAAGCTAACGAACTTACCTGTGACAGTCAACGCTGCTGTCCTTGATGTCCATGAAAATTGGGTAAACAAATTGTACTAAATTAAGAGTAACGTTACTTAAAAAAAAAAAAAAAAATTCTCAAGTCTAAATAAAAAGTAGAAGTCCAAAAAATGTGTTAAAGTATTTGGGGAAACTACTCCTCATGTAACTTAAGTTAAAAGTAACTGAACAATACATAATTTGTCACTTGAAGTTAATGCATTTGCGAGGATGAACATGAAATAATATTCATGTCTGGTATTTTCACAGTGGGAAGAAAGTACAATATCTCTAAATAGTGATGCAAGTAAATGTATTGGGTCATAATACATTAGGTCATTGTAATCCCTGTGACAGACCTGCCCTACACTCAGTGTATGTAACACGATGATTTAGGACACTTGTGAACTATTTATGAGATATTTATGAGCTATTTCAAGTGATAAATACAAACATGTTGGTGGTAAAATAAGGTCTCCTACGTTTATTTCATTGTTTTTACATGGTTTTAGAGCGCCTTGGGGTCACATTGACCTGAAGATTTTTTTTTTCCCTTCCCGCTCTCTTGGGACGGGTCAGTCAGACCCAAAAACTCTTTTATGTGGTGTGTTGAGGAAGGATATTGTACCAAGTGGAGAATTATTAAAATTATTTCAATTAAAAGGTTTGTAGTATTCTGTAAAAATAAAATATCTTAAGGTATGATGTCTTACCCAATACAATGTCTTAACATGCTATTGACCTTTAGTCAAAAAGAGTAATGATACATTCTTTTTTTTGTGTTTTCTTTAGGGTGAGTGTCTTGCTGCTGGTTCACATGCATCCCCAGCTCCTAAAGGCTACAGTGAAAAGATGAAGGCTCAAGCCATTAACCATCTCATCAGAGATTTGCAGGTATGTCATGAAATGGTTAAATTTCAAACTGAAATGTAACCTCACCAATAATTTCAGAATTGATTAATTGAATTATATATGTGCTAAGTAGTGGTAATTGGAATTTGAAATGGAATTTTGTGGTGGTTTTCATTATTTTACATTTGTAAAAGGGATTATGAACTAGAATGACTACAGCATTTACACTGTATTTAGTGAAGAAAGAGTTATTATTGAATAGTGTAACATGAAGAACACTCTACACTATTTCTACTTCAAGTGTTAAAACATAGCAATATAGAGTTATTAGTTTTTCACTATACACTAGTGTAAAAAAATCTAATCTTAATCAGTGTTGAGCCTTCTACATTTTGGAAAGTGCAGTTTTAACAAATTTTATTATGGACCTGTGGGGAAGCTGGCCAAAGTGGTCAAAGTAGGAGGCAGATGACACAAAAAAAAGGTGTCTTACGCAGACAAAATTTATTTTAAAAAACAGACTTCTGGGTTTAACCAACAAAAATACAAATAGACAAAAATAAGTAACTCAAAGCAAAACACCAAATACCTACACAGAAGTCTTCCCCTAATTAGTGACACCTGCTTGCCTTTTATACTCCGCCCAGGAGGAAGTACCTCCCCCAGGTGAGTAACAATTCCAGTAAAGCAAAGCAAAAGGTGTCTTTCCAAAATCAAAATGTTAACATAAATTAAGGTGAGTTTAAAATAAGACAAAGGCCCACTTTGTCACACACCCCCCCTCTAAAACCGTTACTCAAAGGGTCACGGGACAGGAAGTTCATCATTTTTACATCCAGGTAACACAATAATTTGAACATACTAAACACTCTTTCCCAATGAGACAGTAGGCTACTTCAAAGTGTCCAAAACTCCTCTTGTATCAAGCCATCTTCTCCAATGACAGTACCTTCTTCTCGAAAAAGTTCAGTTCCATACGGCCCCCAGTCTCACCAGCAGACCATCACCAGTACTGCCACACTTCGAGCTGGTACCTTACCCACAGCGGGTTTCGGGAACTCCAACACTGACCAAAGCTCCTTCAAAGTTGCTCCGATCACTCCAACTGCACACAGCTACAGTTGAGCACCAAGCACTCCAAAGCTCCTGATGACAGCTCCTGGTGGCCAGACGCTGAACTCAAGGCAGCCGTTAGCCGTGACGCTCCACGACTCCTCCAACGTCCTTATAGGGACCTGTGACCACTTTGTCACAGGACCCCATATGACATGGTAAAAATGTTAAAATTAACAATATACAAGTTGAATTAACTCTCTTGAATTTGCTGTGTATTCAAAGGTCCTATATTACACACTGACTCTTGATAAGCCATGTTAAACTGTTGTTACCTCATCAAAACTGTACTTAAAGAGTTGTGTTTTGATTCATTCACATACATTTGAGTAACACTGTACTAGCCTGTCTACATCTCCAAAGCTCAAAATGCTCTGTTCCACCTTCTGATGTCGTGTTGTGGTAGTTTTCAAGTTAACGGGTATATTCTACCTTTAGTTCAGTAGAAACTGGCAATTGTGGGGCTGAAATCATCCGAATGATTTTAGTGAAGGAGTTTGAACTTGAGTTTAAAAACACAGTGGAGCACTTCCTGTATTAGAATACCACAACATCTCAAGGTGAAACAGAGTGTTTTTTGTTAGAGAGAAAAACCCAGCCAAAATATGCAGGGTTTTTGTGTTAAACATGTGTGAATTAATTCCCCTAGAGTCTTTACAATACCGAAGTCAAACATCATATGATACTTTACTGTAACCACAGCTCGGGTAACTCTTTACACATGTTATACTGTCTGCACCTGACAGCTCCTCTCAGCATCGTCTGCACCCCCCTCTGTACGTCTTGTGCAGGCATGGTGGCTGTAAAATGCTGTGTAACTGTATAAAAGCTTAGAAAAAAGATAAGAAATGACATGAAGAGAACATTTATTATGATGTCAATGAACAAATTTTCTGAAGGGGTGGTAGTCTCATAGCAAGAAGGTCTCCAGGCTTGACTGACAATATAATGTAACTTCACACACTGAATGCTAGTTGTTTCTTTAATAGTATAGCATGGCCTTATACATACCATTAGATCCAGTCATATTCTGTAATTAATTCTTATTTTTTTGTAATTGCTACCTGTTCAAGTGAGTATCTAGTTTCAAGATTTAGTGTATCCAATCCTAATCTGCTTCAGCTGGTTATCCATCCATGGCCAGATCATAGTGTGGTACAATGGGCCCAAGTGTAAATCAACTCTGAGGCAACATCATCCTAAATCTCCCTGGAATAAAAAAGGCAGGTTCATCAGGTTAGGGTATACAATACAAAGGCATTTTTTTTTTTTTTTTTAGAAAGACTAATTAAGACTTTATGTTAGAACAACGTAAATTTACATATAAGCATGTGTACATTGCTCTTGGTAAGTGTGCTCATTAATTAATTGCTGAGTGAATTTACTATTCACCAGAATTCATATAAATCATGGAGATTTGTACAATGTAGAAGGGTGCAATAACATTATTTTGCTCATATTTTTTTTCAATTAATTTAAATGTACATAAAAACAAGTGCCTACTGCTAAATCACTACTAACTGATAAACTGATGATTGCAATAGTCTTATGGATAGCTCTGATGCAGATAAATGCTACACATTAAAACATTGAAGTACCTTCAGTTTTGAATGGTGGTACATCCATCTCATGGCTGCAGATGTCAGACTGGGTTTGTCTGCTCTATAAACCTCCTCTAAAGTCTTCAGCACCTGAGTTATGGCCTCGACCTGACTCTGCTTCCAATATCTGCGCAACACATAATATTAACTTTCACTTATAATTACAAAAAAACACAATATTTATATTATTATTTTAGCTATCCCACCTGTCCCTGTACGCTGCTGCCCAACTGTTCCCAAGAAACCCGTTCTTATCTTCATAGTGATATTTACCTGTTAGAAGTCCACCTGACAAGAGATAAGAAAACAATAAATGCAATACAAATAGTGGTATTGTGGAATTATTATCATCAAATTGACCTCTTCTATACAGTATTCATGTGTGTTACCTGCAAGAGGTAAGCATAGAAACTGATGCCAAAGTATCTGAGACATGGAAATAGCTCAGTCTCCACCTGCCTTTTTGTTGCATTGTACATCCCCTAAAATAAATACAGTAGTTGGTTAGAACAGAGAATTTGGGTCATATTATGGTGAGCTTCTTCCACTACCCACCTTTTTTAGTCCATTGTAGTCCTAAAAAATACAACACTCACCTGATACACTGTGGGAACAATCCAGTTGTTGTGTTTACAGATGCTCACAATTTCAGCCACTTCCCAAGAAGCATAGTTCGACAGGCCGAGCTCCTTGAATTTCCCCTTTGAAATGTTTAACTTAACATTAAGCAGTTAGATTCTGAATAGCATTAGCTTGTATCTCATTGCAGACAAACAGTTATTCAAAAAATTGTGCATAATAGATTATATATAAATTATGGTAGCATTAACTCTATAATGATTTTTAATTGAATATAGTGAGAAGAAAAAAAACAAGGAATTGAAAATCTCAGAAGTTACATATTTTTGTAAAAGATAAAGATCAAGTGGATGATGAGGACAATTCTTTTGCTTGCTAAACACTGTACATACTGTAGGTGTAGGGGTGATACTGACAGTATTATTTCAGTACATCAGAACTGCAAGTATCTGCTTGTAAATGTCATCATTAGGAGATCGTTGTTTTTTTTTTTTTGCTTTTGTTTTGCACATCCTAAACATAAAATAATAAAAAGCTAGATGTGCCTCACCTCTTTGTGCAGGTCGTTGCAGGCTCGGAGTGTGTCCTGGATGGGGTTGTTGTGGTCAGGGATGTGGAGGTAGAACAACAAGTAAGAAGTAGCCTACAGAAACATTTTGTTGTCTACAGTCAGGTGACTTCAGCATAGCACAGCAGCCCTTTGTGTAGCTCACCAGTTTTGGGTGGTTTCATGCCTCCGATCACCTCTTCTGCCTTGCCGTCCCCAGAATAGTGTCAGGTCTTTTGGCTGCCTTTTCAGACGACATGTTTCTAGCCGAGCATACGTTTACCTCACACTTGTGGTTTGATGAGCTTTTATTTTTTATTTTTTTAAATACATCTTATTAACACTTCAGAACCCCAGATGCAAACAAACGGGCACCACACAAGATCATCTCAAAACACAACAAATGCACAACAGGAAAAAAAAAAAAAAAAGTTATTGTTTATTAGATCGTATTTTCTTATGTAATGACATTTATTCCTCTAAATTAAGTTAAAATGAATGCTATTGATTGATTTGATAATTCTGTTTGAAATGGGGAGGGAATATGTTCGGTAAATTAATCTGGAGAGACTCTCCATTTTGGTCAATAGTATCCTACCAAAAACTGTTAGATCTCTTCGTGGCCATCTGTTTAAAGTACATTTACATTTTTCAACATTCTCACAGACATTTGCTTTGTCTGAAATATGTTTGTCTCTTGATATACAAGGATTGCAGTGGAGGATCTTTTAAAGCAAATAGCTCGCATTTGTTCAAATTCAATTGTAGGCCTGTGGCTTTAGAAAAGTTAGTAATGATTTGTAGTGCCAAGGAAATATGCTGTTCATCTCTTAAAAAGAGGGTAGTGTCATGAGCAAGCTGATTAACGATGAATGAATTGCCCATGACATTAATTTCAGAAACATCACTATTTTTTTTTTTTTAATTATTAAAATGGCGAGCATTTTTGCAACCATTATGAACAACAAAGGTGAGCTTCCAGAGCCTTGCCTAATACCTCGTTGTTTTCTCAATCTTTTGCAAGTTCCATGACCTAAAGGCACAGTCAGAGCTATTTATATCGTTATAAAGAATACTAATTATCTTCCTTTTTAAAAATGTATCTCCCGTTCCAAATACTTTATAAAAATATAAGGAAATAAAAAAATAAAATTAAACTTCTTTCTTCACTATAATCAACTTTTGATGAGCAGATTGTTGTCCAGCGTACAGTTTTTCCTACCCACTGCATGCTACACAACGTGAAGTTCAAAGGGCGACCTCAAGGGAGCGCCTCGATGTTACCTAAACGGAAAAAACAAACAACTGTGGTAAGAAAGAAAGGTCAAAGTTGAATAATTGCTGGCTGTGACATTTTCCTGTTTGTGCAAATTTGGCAAAGTTTGTTCACCCCGCCCACATGTTTAGGTTACTTATTTTTAAAGATTGTCGACTCCATGCCATACCGCTTGTGCACACTAGAGGGAGGCAAAGTACAGGGAATTTATTGAATTACAACATCCATGCAGAGCGATTGTGAAGAGCCATCAGGTTTCAACAAGAAGCCTGGTCATCTGAGGTGAGTCTAACCAAATTTTTCTATTTTACTTTATTTCTTCAACCTTTTTCTGTCTATTTCAAGGTCCTATATTACACACTGACTCTTGTGAGCTTTAAGCCATGTTATGATGTTGTTGCCTCATCAAAACCATACTTGGAGTTGTGTTTTGATTCATTCACTCACATTTGAATAACACTTTATTATCCTGTCTACATCTCCAAAACTCAAAATGCTCTGATCCACCTTGCGATGTTATGTAGCAATTGTTTTCAAGTTAACAGATACATTTTACTTTTAGTTCAGTAGAGACAGGCAATTCTGGAGCTGAAATCATCCGAATGATTTTAGTGAAGGTGTTTGTGGAGCACTTCCTGTATTTGAATACCACATGACATCACAAGTTGAAACAGAGTGTTTTCTATTTGAGAGAAGAACTCATCCTAAATATGCAGGGTTTGTGTGTTAAACATGTGAATGAAACAAAACACAACTCCAGGTATGTTTGTGATGAGGAAACAACATTATAACTTTATAGAAAATAACACAAATGGCCCTTTAAGAAATGCAATGCGCGATGCCTAGTATGTCAGAACAATTCACACATTGCACAAGTTATCTTTTTGCTTAACTGTTATAGGACTTCTAGTGATCAGTGTTCATTGGTTTTATTTTACAAGTTGAGATATCCCAAAAATGTCAGAGGTTTGTATATATGACAAACCTGGGCAATTTGGTGCTATACTTTTATGAACATGAATAATAAAGACTTTTAACCATGTTGACATGCAAAAATAGTTAGCCTACATTTCTTCTTTCAGGGTCTGAACTTTGCTCTACCCCTGAGCTGATCATAGATAATAAAATGGCTGAATCTCAATTAACTGCATAACCTTAACCTGGCTTACTGGCTTTTTTAATGGTAAGGCAGTGATGGGAGCTCAGACATTTAGAGAACCTTTGTCTCCAAAACTAAGGTAATGCTGATCCACCTTTAACTCAGAGCAGGTCCCATAATGGTCCAATTAAAGCCTGTACATTCTGGATGCGGTTCTTTCAGTGTCTGAGGACGGAGCTGAGGGCTGCAGTGACCCGGGGCGCAGGGGTCATTAACACACATGTGCCCAATGAAGGCCTTTGTTTGTGGAGCAGCGCTGGTCAGAGCGGGAAGGTGAACTTTGACCTCTCCATCAGCTGTTTGCTCTGAGTCTCAGCCACAGCCCCTGGACTCCGCCGTCTTCAGTCTGCAGCTAAATCTAAAGACAATGAATGAATGACAATGAGCAAATAGAGCCCATGGAACAAGCGATTTTGGTATGTAATAATAGTATAATATAAATAACACTTTACTTAGACAGGAGTTTAACAATATTGGCATCACTGTCATATTTCATGATCAAGAGTCTCACAATATATTTAGATGAAATGATATGGATTATAATTCTGTGTTAAGGTAGCTGAATATTTCTCAAAATTACAGAAACTTCATTTGAAATATGAAAATGGCTGTGCCTATAGCAGCAATTCCAGACTGCAAAAGTTTGCAATAACACATATTCTATATTGAATGAGTCAGTGGTATTAATTAACCTTAATGATAGAGAGATGGATAGAAAGTTTGGCACCAGCAGCATAGAAACAAACATGGTAACAGAGAAAATATATTTGAAGTTAGCAGTTCATTCTCTTGCATTCATCAGCTCTAGAAATAATAAATATGGATTCAAAGTGTCTGTTAGCCTATGGGTCGGTCAAATTATAACATTTACTCACCTGGGAGTGTTTGTAGTAACAGTAACCAAAAAAACTTACCTTTCTTTTGTAGGGTTGTCGGTAATGGCCCTAATAGCAGCCTTCAAATTTCCATGTTGCCTAGTAATTTTGCTTGAGGAAGAACTTCAAAAGACCTGTGGTAAGCAAGTTTATTCAGCCTGTGTTGTCAACTCGAGTATGTTATTTTGACACGCATAAGCCAGACAACCAGACAGATTTTAGTGAATGCAACGCTTATCTCCACTCGTAACATCCTGGAAGACATTAGGTATCTGTTTTTTATTCGTCTGCAGGTTTCCTCTTTTGGCCGCGCACTTGGACAACCGCGGGTCGTGTCTGTGAATAGTAAACTTCGCATCCTCCTCCCCCCAAAACCTCCAGCTTCATACCCATTACCAAATCAATGGACGGAGAAAGCGCGCAGCTCACTCGTACGCCTGCAGTAGCGGTGGAGAGGCGTGCGTAAAACTGTTGCGTACTGCGATATTTTTTATAATTATAACTTTTTTACTTGTTGTCTCTGGAATGTAATCGCCGTTTTGTGTGCGTAAACGCGTAAGAAGCAGAGTCTGAGGTTTTCGCTGCACTGCCTGTATTTTTATATTATTTCTCATCAATTTTGGCCGAACTCTGGAGTCAGACTGATGACTGAGTTGGCAACAGGTTTTTGATTGAAGACGCAAAGAAGAAGATGGATAATTTTCTTTTAGCTTTTTGTTTGATAGTTATTAAAGGACTTGACGCGTATAATTATGGCACGGCTAACCACAATCTCCAACCATACATGTAAGAACCTTTAAGTTAGTTTATTATATTTAACCTTAAAACTGTTTATCATGCACTTTTACGCACGGGATTTGAGAGGCGACTTCTTGCATTTCTGTTTGTCACTTTACGCCAAAACACAGTTAAACAATTGAAGTAATAGCTACAGGTAATTGTAACTGCAGGAGCATATGTGGTTAGTAAGTAAAGTAGTATTGGTAGTACAAGTAGCCTAGTAGTTGTAGTAGCTTGTATGAAATCTTGACGGCATGTTCCAGTTGAAGTAAGTGTACAAGTTAAACCAGTGACATTTGCTACACTTTGCAGACTTGGTTTTGTGGTTCATCTTTATTTTAATTTAGGTTTCAGATCTTGACTATTTCCTCTCACATAAAATTGTTTCCAACCTTGATTGAAAAGTTAATTGTATAGCATCTCTGTCTCCTTAAGCTGTTTTACAACATTTCCCAATCGCGGTCTTCTCTTTTTCCATTGTTTTATCTCGTGTCTCCTGCTCGCCTTAATGATGCTGGTGTTTACAGATGCACAGCTGTATGCCGTCCTTTAGTTTGATCCATACTCTAAATCTTTACGCTGCGTCCCTGGAGCATTACCAAAGTAGAAACAGTGGGATCGGGTTGCACTTTGGCTGTGGATCACCTGTGAACACTTTAATGGCGTTCAGCGTTATCTCTAAAGACACTTGGTTTAACAGGAAAACATGAGTAATCCAGATTTAGAGAAGACACATGCGCAGAGGGAGCTGGTAAATGTGAGATTCAGAGTTTAATTTTTTGACAGATTTTCTGGATTAAAGTTTTTATGTGGAGCATGTATGACTGGTACTCTGAGTTTCCCACCAGCTTGTTTCTGTCCTTGTTGAATTAAAAGGCCCATGTTACAGTATTTTCTGATTGATGTTATAATGTTGCTTCCTCATCAAAAACCTAGTTGTCTTGTGTTTGTTTAACACACAAACCCTGCACATTTCTCTCTCAAACAGAGAGAAAACTCATTTCCATTACTTGTGATGCCACATGGTCATTCAGGAAGTGCTCCACTGTGTTTTTAAACATCATGAATCTTCACTAGAAATATATGGATATTTTCAGCCTTGGGATTGCCAATCTCTACTGAATTTAAGGTAAAAGGTAGCTTTTCACTTAAAATTTACCATTTCATGA